CCCCCCCCACCGAGCCTAATGACCCCAGCCGAGTAAATCCGTGAATTTTGTGATTCCTCCCACCTCCTCCTCTTCTTGCAGCCGGTGACCTTCTTCCACGTCATATGCTTTTAGTTCGGCGGCGCTTGCTGCCTACGCGCAGCGTGCGTGGTCGCTGGAGCGGCTGCTGCAGCGTTGGAGGGCAACTGGTGCCGGAGTCAACGTCCATGGGGGCGGGGACGTCGTTGCTGAGCATGGAGCTTGGGGCTGCAACGTCGTCACCACTCCCGTCGTCGGCTGTCAAAGTGCTGCGGTCGCAGCTGCTGCACTCGTCGACCTGCATGGGCTCCACGAGCACGCGAGCCATCGGTAGATGTTCTTGGTTCGGCTCAGCGTGCGCGTGGTGCTCCACGGCGACGCGAGCAGCAGCGCAAGCAGTTGTAGCAGTAGCAGGTACCGTAGCTGGAGTAGCTGCGGTAGCCGCTGTTGGGCTTGAGTCAACTAACCCCGGGTCGGGCGGCATGCTGCCCGACCGCCACGACTGTGTGGACTTCAACATAGTCTGGGGCGGCGGCGCGAGGGTTCTGGCCGGCGGGGCCAGCTTGGGAGGCGGGGCTTGGGTCTTGAAGTGCCGCTGGGGGCGGCGGAGCGCGAGCCAGGTCGGCTGCCAGCGCTGCTGGGTCGGCGAGCATGCTGCCTGCCCTGCCGGGTGGGGCAAGCACACTCGCGACGTCTGCGGGGGGTCCTGGGGCGGCGGCGTGGGGGTCTTGGGCGTCCTCGTCGTCGCTGCTGTCGCCGTCGAGCTCCAAGGGCCAATGGCGGACCGCCAAGGCCCAAGCTGTGGCGGCTGTGAGCGCGGCACCCGGCGATACCGAGTCGGGCAGCCTGCCGGCCGCCCTGCCGTGTGGTGCCACATCGTAGGGGGGGTCTTGGGGGCTGGCGAGGGCCGTCGCCGCGAGCCCTGCGTCTGCGGAAGCCAACGGGCGCGCTTGCAAGCTCGGCGGCGGCGTGTGGGCCGCGCCAGAGCGCGAAGTCGGCGGCGCCTGGGAAGGCAGCCGCGAGGCCGAGCCGCGTACGGGCTGAGAGGCCAGCGACCGGGGCATACTTAGACCAAGTATAGCCCCGCGTACAGGCTGAGAGGCCAGGGATTCGGCTGTACTTGGTCCCAGTATGGGGCCGCGTACAGCCTGAGAAGCCAGGGATTCGGCCGTACGGGTCTCGCGTACAGCCTGAGAGGCCAGGTATCCTCCCATACTTAGATCAAGTATGGGGCCGCGTACAGCCTGAGAGGGCAGGGATTCGGGCATACTAAAACCAAGTAAAGTCTGCCCGATCCCGCCTGGCTCTCGCACGTCTTGATGCCAAACGGCGCGAGGTCGTGCTGGAAGGGCGGGGCTGCGCTTGGGCGGCCGAGGCGTCGTCCCGCGATGCCGCTTGGCGTGCAATAGGCGCTGCTGCCCGAAGTTGCACCCTCTGAATCGCCGCCGGTGCCGAGCAGTGGCACGGCGCGTGGAGGGTCCAAACCGCCATTTTGGCCTGAAGTTGAAGCCGAAACGGGGGCAAACGTGTAAACCCCAGCCCCCTCGTCGTCGCTGATTGGCCGAAAGTCGGACCAATCGGGGGCCGCCAGATCGGCCTCGTCAGCTGCGCTATAGAAAGACGCGTCGCTGCCGAGACTTGATTGGCTGGCCGTGGAGGCCTCGCTGTCCGAGGACAGGGCCCGGTCTCTGATTGGCCAGAAGAGGCGCATGGCGCACTCTGATTGGTCAAAAAGAAAAAAGTTCGACAACCGAGGACTTACGAGGTCGCAGGCGAATTAGAAAAGTGTAGAGAAGATCGGTGTAGTGTGTTTTGTAGTTGGCCTCGCGGGGGAAAGGTGTACGCCCCCGGAGACCGCTCGTCCGCCGCTAGCAAGCTAGCCGCAGCCGAGTGCCCAAAAATGCGAGTGAAAAAGTCCGCCAAAAGGCGAAAACCAGTTTTCACACTGATTAGAACAGAGAGTTTTGTGTATTACCATTTGGCTTACTCGTTACCAAATTTGTAATTTGGTCGCTACCTAATTGAATGTCTAAAATATAGGTAAGGCTTGCGAGTCGACCACCGAAATGGGTTTCTAGGGCGGTTCCCTACCTGGGTGGGGCCCTGTCGGCCGTCTTGGGCCTGGTTTTCGCCTAGCGGCGGCTTGTCTGGGACGAAGTCCCTCCGGTCTTCGTCGCCCGGCTGCCTCTTGGTCCTTGGCTGGGCCTCGCCTGGTGTTGGCGAGTCCGGTGCTGGCTGCAGTGTAGATTCCAGATGCGGCGGCTGGACTGGATGCAGTCGGCAGACAGCTACCGGTCCAGCCGCTTTGCATCGCGCTTGAGTAGCCCCAGGTGTGTGGTGTACACCTGGTAGTTGCCACTAGCGACCGCCCCAAGCGACCCGTACACGAGCGCCGAGAGATGTACCTTCCATCCTTGGCGATCGAGGTGTCGCTTGATGCGATCGTACTTGGCTCGCTTGTGGCTGGCGATAAGGGACAGCGCCGAGCTGCTCGCGTCGTCACTCGCCTGCTCCTCAAACGCCACGGCCAGGTCGACCACCGCCACCGTCTTCTTGGTGTGGTTGTAGAGCTGGAGATCGGGCCGTAACGCGGGGCCGGCGAGTGACGGCACGGTCTGGTTCACTCGGAGCTCGACGCGGTCCCGGCGGTCCGTGGACGACGCGTGGAGCTCACGCTCGATGCGCTTGAGCGCTCCGTCGTGCCACCCTCGGACCGCGTCCATCGTGCCGGGACAGTGGTTTAGCACGTGAGCCAGTGTTTCGGCACGATGGCATCCTG